ACCCTACAGATCATTTAAACAGAATTATTTCTTTCGTCATTAAATCTGATGCATTTCATTCAACAATATTTCAAGACAAATACAAATTAAAATATTCAAAATAATTCATGTTATTCTGCAATATCCCTCACCTTTCCCTTATAGTTTGTCTGCAAATGTGGAGGATAGGTTACATTTCTGGATACAATTTGCATGATCCAAAAAATACTTCGACTCAGCAAACAAACAAACAAAGTAACATTGAATAAAGTTACAAACAAGATTAAGGTTCAAATAATTTGTCCCTTCAGCCAGGCGTCAATTATTCTATCAGAGGTAGGAAGGCTAAAAGGATTTAAACCACGCAAATTTAATAAACCAGATTAACAATATGTACTTTCCAAACTGTTAGGGACCCCAAAGTAAACTACCCAAAATATCTATTGAACCAAATGACTGCCTATAGGAAGTAGAGGATTTCCGAACAGTAAATAGTGATTTCGTGTAAGCATAGCCTGTTTCCCCCAAACTTTCTATTTGCAATAAAATATGGCACTGTGCATAAAAGCAATGGTTTAACATAAGCAATGGAATACACTTCTTACATCTAAAATATTACCTGTTGTGCAACTCCGGTTTTTGCAGGGGCTCTCAGAAATAGAGGCAGATCTCAAAACCAGCAAAAGGCTAAGATGCCACACTTCGGAAAGGCTGATTGAAAACAGACTCTTTAAGTTTTAGCGGATTTTCTCTCTCCCTCCCTCCAAGTGCTAAGAAGCCGATTTGGGAGTTTGAAAGGAATGGGTTTCAGCGTCCATATTTGTTCTGGTGCACTTGTAAAATGCGATTTGAAGAGGATCTTTAGCCCTCTGATTGTCTTTGTTTTGTTTTTCTTGAAACGGATCTTTTGCCCTTAATGAGTCCCCACGCAGCTGGACAGCTCCTTCTCGGACACTGAGAGCTCTAACCCTAAACTGACCCCAATTTGACACCACAAGATGAAATTTTACCGCCTGTTAAAACCATTTCCAGCCTCGGCAAAAGGAGCTGGCTGTTGACGGAGATGCACTTCCATACCGGACACCTAATTTCTCTTTGGACTTTGGTCTAATCTGAAGAAGAAGAAGAAAAAAAACCAAATGATGCGCCTCTCTCACACTTTTCACGGGGATCAGCCTTTGTTGTAAGTGTGTGCACGCGAAACTGGAAATCAGCCAATTTAATCTCCCTGAATTACTGGTTTTTAAAAAAAGAGTATCCCACCATGCTAGGGGGAAAAAGGAAGGAAAAAAACCACTACCACTACTAACAAGAGCTAAGAGTTCTGGTGCTGCTGTTTCTTACATTCCTACCTAATCCTGAATATGTCCAAGGCTTCATTTTGGGACACTAAATTTAGATCCTCTAATGGCTAAACTGTAGGGCTTTAAACTATGTTCCCATATATTGTATGCTTTAATCCACTGGGATAGTGGGAAAAGGTTCCATCTTTCTTCTGCCCTGTGTATAGAAAATGACACAACGGGGAGCATGAAAAACCTTTAGCTGACCATATGAAATTTTACTTTCTATCAGCTTAAAATCATTTTTAAAAGTTGGTCTTGCTTCTAGGTGGCACGCACACGTCAGGGCTAGCCAGCTCAGGGGCTTTAGTTTAAAATAAAAATTGTGAAAAGAGCAGCATTTGGTACTGCAACATCTTTTAGCTATATTTATGTTGCTCTTTATCAATTCTTTACTCTGAAGAATTGAAATCTACATTGAATATTACGAAAATCAGGCATGTGAAAAAATGAAGTATAAAATAATGCTATAATTAATGAAGCTCTCTTATTTGTAAATCAAGTGGTGTAGAAACTTCCTTTTTACAAGGAAACGGATAAACTTTCATCACAATACACCCAGCCTGGGATCTGAACAAATACATGAAGTCTTCAGTGGAACTAGATTACTTTTATACAGCTATATTACAATGAAAGACCCTTTCTTGTATCATATTGAAGCTATTTGAAATGAGATATACAGCTGTACTCATTCTACCACTATTAGAAAATAAATTGAGAAGCTGCACATATTTAAAATATATCCTAGAAGCTTGGGCATATTGGAAGTACCATAATCAAATGATTCCGATGAAGTTTAGGAATTTGGCATCTTTCTAGGGGGCGAAAAAGCAAATACCATTCATCAATGACTAGATCTCTAAAAAAATCTGTTAGAAAAGTACAGCTGTAAAACTAGGAAAGGATTTGCATAACCTACTGCTCTGTAGGTCTCCGTGCACCCAAAGGATTAGCCAAGTATTCATTACCATGAATATCTTGAATTGCGTTACCGATTTATACGACAGAGTATAAAATACTGCACAACAAAACCGGCTTTTTCCTTGCGAAATGAATCGACTTAACCACTGCTTGAAAGAGATCTACATACTAAGGGCTTTTTACTCACCTTTCTTTATAGTCCCGTGAAAGTCAGTCACAGAATATCGGTTGCTCTTAGAGCTAGCTTTAATCTTGGAGGAGATCCTCTAGGGGGAAAATAACCGGTCTGCTCTTCGGCTTCTGACGCTTTTTAAGCAGGGTGCAAGTCTGGCTAAAAGTATCTGAGTGACTTTTCTCCATATTGCTCTCATATTTGTAAATACAGTCTGCTCTGCAGGGCTCACCACTATCAGAACTCGTAGGAATGCCCACTGGCGTTTGTCAGCCCTCCACACTATCTTTCTTTATATGTGAGGGCTGATTTCCCGCAGACATCATTGTTATGATGGCTCATTTAATCAAACTGTTTAATTGCTCCGGTAATCACTATCATCATCACAGGTACTCAATCATTCATCATTTTCGAGGGGTTTATTGACCTCTGGAGCTCATTCTCTATGCCCATTAAAATCTAGCCAAATTTCTATAATTACCCTTTGGGTTTTTTTTATTCATTCAGTTAGTTAGTTAGTTTCCAAAAATCTTAAAATAACAATAATAAACAATCCCTAACTGACTCAAATACATTTTTTTGCGGTGTATGTTTAAAAGCCATCTATGTATGAGGCCACATTCACAACTGGGTACATACATAATCATTGATAAATCCCACTATTAACGGGATAGTCTGTTTTAGATTTTATGTGCAGGGGACCGTGAACGAGAAAAAAAGGTGGGGGGTGGGAGAGGACAAAAGTGCAGCAATCGATAGTTTGACCATCGCTCCTCCCCTAAACTTCAAGCATCCCCCATGATTGATGATCTTGGGTAGCTTTGGTAATTGACTGCTCTGAGGTAAGGCATGTTTTAGTTCCAGCAAAGTGAAGTGATTGGGCGAGAGAAACATACTAAAATTAACGTGTGTGTGTGTGTGTGTGTGTGTGTGTGTGTGTGTGTGTGTGTGTG